GGAGTGAGGTGCCAGGGCAGCTAACCAAGCCCAGCAGCTGCTCTGGGCACTTGGAGGCACATGTAACATAGCTACATGATAGAACAGGTTCTCCAAAAGCAAAGCATCAGCTCCCACTGCAGGAAAGGTTGCATCTCTGATCTATCCTGTGCTTACTCCACATGGAACCCCAACACGAGGCACTCCTCTAGTTATTATGACTGTTGGAACTTTCTCTCGAGCCAGAGCTACAACAAAGAGTTCAGCATCCACAGGACAGGAACAGAAAGCAAGTCACAGCATGCAGGGTATAGTCTTTCCAGGAAGAAGGTTCTAGGGGCTTTTTGGAAGGCTGCCTTTAGCGCGTGTGAAGTTAAGGTCAAATACAAGTGGTACGACAGGGATCCGCATGTCTGGGGAGGTACTTTAATCTGTGAAAGGATTATGTCTACTTCTTTTATACTAAAGTTGGCTATTAAACATCAGATGCGTATCTAAGTTGGCTTTCTGGATCTACCTTGCAGTTAAGCAAATTTCTGTAAGAAATGTTAAACAGAAATGAAATTTGTATCTGAGAAGATTTAAAGATCTAAATGTGAGAAAGTGAGGAAAAGGGGTATACTGAGGCAGAATCATAGGTGGTTTAAGTTGGAAGGGAGCATTAAAGACCACCTAGTCCCAAACCCCCTGCCATGGGCAGGGACACCTTCCACTAGACCAGGTTGCTTCAAGCTCCATCCAGCCTGGCCTTGAACACTGCCAGGGATGAGGCAGCCACAGCTCCTCTGGGAACCTGTGCCAGGGCCTCACCACCCTCACAGTGGAAAACTTCTTACTAATATCTAAATCTGCCCTCTGCCAGTTTAAAGCCATTCCACCTTGTCCTATCCCTACAGGTCCTTGTCAAAAGCCCCTCTCCAGACTCCTTATTGGCCCCTTTAGGTACTGGAAGCCTGCTGGAAGATCTTCCTTGATGGTCAGAAGCAAAATTCAGGGAAGAGCCAGAGATGACTTTGGTCAGGTCAAACCAAGGACTCCATCTTACGCAAGCAAGGAGACAGGGCAGTTGCAGGAGCTTTATTTCCTCTTTAAAGAAAAAAAATCTCAACATTGTACTTCATTGGTTCTGAACACTGAAACAATGCTGTAGCACACTAAATATTTTCCTTTCCCAGGCTGTGTTAAACTATTTATTTCCAACCCAATGCTAAGGCTTGCTTTAGCAATCTGGCAAACACCAACTGCCAGCTAAGCCTACAGTTGTTATTGTGTTTCTCATCAGGCTAGTTCCAACAACTTTCATTATCTAAATATGTCATTTTGAATTTTTGCTTGTGTCCTGTCCCTGTGCCCCGCTTTAGACTGACTGTTATTTGCCATTATACATAACATATTGAGTGGAAAAGTAGGGAAGCTAGGCTTGGGTAAGCATCCACTTAATTCCCCAGGCAATATATATGCCTTATTCCTGTTGGGGAGGAACTGCAAGAGTATTATTGCACTTGCCCAGAAAAGTATACACTATCAGACTGAAAACTGACAGCTTAAAGCTACCATGCTCTCAGTACTCACTCCTAAATAGAAGCGATAGAAGAAATAGCAAGGGAACAGGCAAGACAGACTCTCTGATGGCAAGTTTTGTACTGGACTGGCTGTTACTCAGTAGTGCTTTAAGCATACCCCATCTGGATTCAATCAACTGTTCAAGAACACCCTTTCATTTCAGAACTCTGGTAATTCCGAGTTAAACTTCCCGCTCCAAGATAAATTCACCAATGCTGACACCTTCAGCATGTAGTGGAGTCCATCTGTAGCCAAAATATATTTGCATGCATTTTATACAGAGAAGAGTTAAAAGAACTGAATTTTAAACATCATCTGTCAACTCCAGTCCACATTCTTTTTGCAGTACAAGATCCCATTTTATTACCATTGCTGTCCAAGCCTGGTACGCATGAAAGCTCCTTCCCAAACCATCTAACCAAAATGACATGTGGCCAGCTCACTCTACCATGAGGTACCCAAGCCAGTCTTAACTGAAAGCCACAAGTACCTCAGTGCCACTTTAGTTTGAAGTATTATTCAGACTGGTCCTTTAAAACAAAGACTATCACAGCTGATTTGTCAGCTATCATGTTGCACCCACTTTCTTCCACGGAAATAGCTGCAGTTTTGCTTCGCTGCTAAACAGCAAGATACTACCTTAGAAAAACAAGACACAAACACAGGAATCCAAAGCTGGTAGTTATTTTTTACTTGAAGACTCTGAAACATTAAAAAAGGTATTTTTACAAATAATAAATTCTTTCTGGAATGAATCTGGACACGCTTAGACAAGGTGATGATATGGAAAGGGCAGTCTGACTTTTACAAAACTGGTATTCAAGCATCATCAATACACACAAAGGACAGGCTCTTATGCATATTTCATTGCAACCTTCACTCCACCTCAGTAAACATCTTTGGAATATAATTTTTACAAAACAAAGTAACTTAAATATTCACAGGACAAAACCATAGAAATATTACTAAAAATATGAGTGGTAAGACTTACAGAGACCAGCAAACAGATGCTGCCTATGGGTAATCAAAAGGGAATTTGCTGAAGTTACACTAATCACAAGCATAGGTCTGCCACACAGAGGCTGGATTCCAACAACTGGGAACACTCATGACTAAGAGGCAGTTTTGGAATTTGGTTACTTGCCTAAGGCAGGGAGGCAGTAAGAAAAGACAGGTGTGCAGAAGGCAAAGGCAAGGTAAATTAGTGCTAGAAGTTCTTGTTAAACCAGGAGTCTAGAAATACAGCAAGAAAAAGAGGTTGTTCTTTCAAAATCAGAAATTAGCCAAAGGGTATCAGTATTTACTTTCTATATTGCACAAACAGCTTTAAGAAACTGAAAAATTAGAAAGCCCTGCATTTGTAACAGCTACATTTAAACACATTTCAAGTGGACTTAGCCCATATAGTTCAGATTTTAAAACAATTCAACACTTGTCCCTAAAAACACCATACAGCATTTGTGTTCTGTCTTCAAGCCCTCTCTAAACTAAATATTCCATTTTAGCAGACAGTGCTACTAGCTCTCCTTAGGATCTCACAGATTTATTGCTTTAGTGACAAAGGCTAAGATCTAAACTTTGAGGGAGATTAAGGCAATCCCACAAGACTGACACCTTAAGGGCATTTCTGGCACACTGTGGTCTTCATTCAAACACCAGAAGATCGATATTTAAAACTGACAGGAACACTCACATTTTAATCAAAAGGACCCTTTCAAGCATCAGTTATATCTTCCCAATATATACCCCAGCACTGGAGTCATGAGTCATTCCAGAGCACCAATATTCAGGTAACAAAAATAAAGGAAAAGTTAAAGGAGGAAGTTCCAGGACATCTTACATAACTGATTCTTACTCATCCAATAACCTGTTGGAAGATTCACTCAGATTTTGGACAGCTGAATTACTTTCTCCTATTTATAACATGAATTACAATCTGTCAGATATACTTAACATTGCAACTTCCAAAGAAGCATTCGAGACTGACAAAGAACATGGCAGCTTTACAAGCCAATGCTGAATATTGTTCTGCCCAATATATTTTCATATCCCAGAGTTCATTACAAGCTCCTTGTCTGATGTTCTATATTCTTAAGTCACCAGGAGAGCCTTGCTTTAGAAAGCCAGGCTGCAGTGAAAAGATCAAGAGCATTTCTACATTTGTGGTCTTAATTACTCACAGTAGTTTACTATTGACACAGATTTATCAACTGCCAGTCCTGCAAACCCACTCAGGTGAACAATTAAGAAAACCAAACCCAAACAACTACAAACAAAACCAAACAAAAACCCCCAAATGCCTAAAAAACAAATTAACAAAAAAAACACAAAACCCCAAAACAGCAAGAATAGACTCATCTAAAAACCTCAGTATAAGGCTAACCCCTCCCTTGCAATACTTTGGACAAAAACTGACTATGGAAGACTTTTTATAAGCCATGTAAGATAACAGTGGTCCAATGCACAGATGCATTCTTTTTATTTCTATACAAAGTGAAAACAAATACCATACAGAAAACAGACTACAGATTGTTCCTTAAAGAATTAGGGTATATTGTTTCAAGATGGTTTTGTGAGACCTGAAAAGATGACTTTCTATAAAAGCAGCAGTTATTTCAACTTCATACTAAGAACAGCCTGACTGGTTTTGGAGTAAAATTTCACTAAGCAGAAATCACTGATGCTGTATTAAAAATAAGTAGCGTCCTACTGCCATCCAGAGGGATGACTGGATAGGATTTGCGCTCAGCAGAAAACCCTGTGTGTAAACTATTCCCATCTGAATCAGAGTCTTAGAGACAAGACTTCATAGCGCTATTTGTATTTTTCTTTTTTTTTTTCTAGGAAAGACGTACATTGCCAAGAAGCTCGTAATTTTCTACAGCCTTTTCTAAAAGAAATGGATGCAAATAGCAGGTTTCTGGTCAGGCAGAGAATCCACACTACACAGAGTGCTTTATGACAACTTCCATCTGGGAAGGTGGCAAAGACAAGCTCTTGAGCTTTTGTTCAGAGGGCAACTTCTGTTCCTCTAAATGATAGCAACTTTCATCTCTTTGGAAGAAGAAAGACTGAGGGGGTTGTAGCTCTCATTGTCACAGCAGAAAGCAATTTTTGTCACATTAAAAGCCTGGAAACATGTCCCATAACTGAAGGAACTCTTCCCCCTCAGCATTTCTTAAGAGCACAACTAGACAGACTTATACTGAGGAACCTTTCTGAATGCTTTAACAGCAAACAGGTTAGTGCATTTTCCTTGCTAATGTTCCCTAATGCAACAAGTACACTGGTTTACATTCTGTTAAAAAACAAACAAAAAATCCCTATAGAACAAGTCATTCAAGAAGCCACTTGCATTACTTCTCAGCACTTCTCTTCACACAGACACAAGTTTCAGCCATTTGCAACAGCATGTTTTACTTTTGATTACCTGATGCCAAAGATGCCCTTTTTTCTCCCCCTGAATTCATGAAATGCATCATTACCACCATGACAGGAGTTATTCTTCTTTTCAAGCTAAAAGATTTGACACTTATTTCCTTCTCAGTTGGTGACTCAAACACTAATCCTGCATGCAAATAAAGCTAAGATTTATCCGTTGTGGCAGCAGTGATCACTGGGCGCTGCCTTACAGCATTTGGTGATGAGTTTCTGTCAGACACTTCTTTACCCTCGATTTCATCATCTGAGATATCTTCTTCATCTGCTTCCTGTTCTTCATCCAGCTTTTTCAGCAGCTGAGCTGACTCTGGAGCTAGCTTTCCTTAAGGAGAAAGGAAAACATGCATACACAGATACCATTACCATGAGAAATGCACTTCAACATGGAGTTAAAGTGCATTTAACTTAATCCAGATGCACAAGATTTTGATGAACTTAATCCAAGTAGCACTTTCCGATATCAGTCACTCCAGCTACCACCTTACGTAGAATTGTTGCTAGCATGAAATTACCCCCACGTCAAGCATTAAGAGATAACAGACTACCCAGACAAGGTAAAGAAAGATGAAGATTCCTCCAGCTTTGGTGGGGCAGGGAGGAAGTCATGTTCCTACAAACCATGACTTTTTACGATTAGCTTAAAAAAAATCCTGAGACTAACCACAAACTGAATTACTTACCATCCACTATTCCTCACTTTGCCCCTATAAATTATGCAACTGCCAGCTTTGCAACACAGAGCTCCACTCAAAACTTTTATCTCCCTGCACACATGGAATTTCATATCTTGCAGTTACGAGCACTGTAAAAGCAATTTTCCATCTCCTAAAAACAAGAACTTTTTAAAAAATAGTTTAGCTTTAGCTAAATAGAAAATACAAATCCACTATAAACCCTAAGGGCAAACAGCTGCAAGTGTAAACTTCTACACTACATCTCACATCCTGCAGACACAAGTTACATACTAGCACTTATTAAATAACATTTAGCAAATAACATTCAGCTTCACAGAATTAGTCATATACAGCAAGCTTACTTGAGTGAGGGTATTGTGGCGGTCTGTATTTTTTGGATGGACAGATACAGTCTGCTAAGAACACAATTATCTGAAACCAAGGAAAACATGTTTAAATCTCCAGACATCCCACACATGAGATCATGAAATTCTTTAGGTTGGAAAGGACCTTTAATATCACCAAGTCCAACAGTTATAACCCAGCACTGCCAAGCCCACCACTAAACTATGCCCCTAGGTACTACATCTACATGTCTTTTAAGTACTTCAAGGATGGTAACTCCACCACTTCCCTGGGCAGCCTGTTCCAACAACTGACAAACCTTTTTGTGAAGACTTTCCCAATATCCAACTTTTTGGGTTTTGGCAACCCTTTTGTTGAAGCCACTGGCCACCTTGGCTATTTGAGCACACTGCCAGCTCATACTCAGCCAACTGTAGACCAACACCCCCAGGTCCTTTTCCATCAAGCAGCTTTCCAGTCACTCTGCCCCAAGCATTTCAAGGGATTGCTGTGGCCCAAGTGCAGGACTCAGCACTGAGCCAGTTGAAGCTCATACAGCTGGCCTCAGCACATTGATCCATCCTGTCCAGATCCCTCTGCAAAGCCTTCCTGCCCTCAAGCACATCAACACTCCCACCCAACCTGGTGTCTTCTGTGAACTGACAGAGGGTTCACTAGATCCCCTCATTCAGAGCACTGATAAAGACATTAAACAGATCTGGCCCCAAACACAGGGGAACACCACTTGTGACTTAACTCCACTTCCCACCACACTTCAGGGCTGGCCATCCAGCCAGTTTTTACCCAGCAAACAGCACACCCCTCCAAGCCAGTTTCTCCAGGAGAATGCTGTGGGAAATGGTGTTAAAAGCCTTACTAAAGTCCAGGTAGACAACATCCACAGCCTTTCCCATACCTACTAAGCAGGTCACCTTGCCGTAAAAGGAGATCAGGTTAGTCAAGCAGGACCTGCCCTTCATAAAGCCATACTGACTGGGCCTGATCACCTGCACATGTCCTGTACATGCTACGGGACAGCACTCAGGATGATCTGCTCCATAAAATCCCCCAGCACCAAGGTCAGGCTGACAGGTCTGTGGTTTCCCAGGTCCTCCTTCAACCCCTTCTTGTAGGCAGGTGTCACATTTGCTGACCTTCAGTCAGCTGGGACCTCTCCAGTGAGCCAGGACTGCTGATAAATGATGGGAAGTAGCTCAGTGAGCACTTCCACCACCTCCCTCAGCACCCCTGGGTGGATCCCACCTGACTCCATAGACCTGTGCGTGTCCAAGTAGTGTAGCAGCTCACTGACCATCTCCCCTTGGATTATGGGGGCTTTGTTCTGCTCCCCGTCCCTGTCTTCCAGCTCAGGGGGCAGGGTACCCCAAGAAAAACTGGCTTTACTATTAAAGACTGAAGCAAAGGCGACATTAGCATAATACATAACAGTCACAAGCCAATCTCTTTCAAGTTTTTCACTTACAAGTCCCAGTATCAGTCCTGAGAATAGAGTTGCCAACGCAAACACAGCATACGAGCCCCAGACTGGTATTCCAACATTTTCTGTTAAATAATTATGGCAGTGCTGAAATAAAAGACAAGATAATCATTTCAAGAATAGCTGAATATCATGTGTTCAGATAAAATGAGCTCTAAGCACATACCCTGATCCACATTGACAACTGGAACAAAGCTGACATACTGCTCATCCTGAAACAAATCAGAAAAGTAACTGAAGACATCTGCAAGCCAGTCACATATCCACATCTTCTGATTTGCCTGACTGGTCATTATTTCATCCCAAGTTGAACAATTTTCTGCTCATGTCTGGTTTCTCTTCTAACTAATTTATCTTCGGTTATGTCTTTTAATTCAATAAACACTCATTCCCCATGAGATGCTGATGTTGGTACCAAAAGTTTGTTTCAATGTTCTACACAGGGACAACCACAAGCTTACTAACTTTCTTGACTTGTATCTGCTGACATAAGAATTTCAATTACTTTTATGTTCTAAGTTATATTTGGACAAACAATCTGAGAAGCAGCTAGAACTCTATTCAAGATATTAAGAACTAAGCATCTGAAGATTTTATTAAAACAACCTATTAAAAAAATAAATCAGGTTATATAAAAACTGACACTTAAGTTCAGCTATATTTTACATAGCAGTGAAAAAGACCAGGCTATCTGCCAGTATATCCTGCTGTATCTGACATTTTCCTGTTACTATGAAACTTCAGCATTATGTATTCACTGTCTAAAGGAAAGGAGAATTTGAATCATTAAGCCAACTTAACTTGATGAGTGAGCAGCAGAAGCAGCCTGCATACTGCTTCAGTATGCACAGAAATGGGACTGGATCAGTACACTTCTAACTTATTAATCCTAAAATTAGTACCCTGTTTCACATAGAGTAGAGGGAGAGAATCACCTCCCTCAACCTGCTGCTGAAGGAGGCATGACACTCACCTATCACATTCACAGGCTAATTAGCAGCTCGGCACTGATGCATAAGCTGATAATAAGGAGGTATCCGCAGGTGCAGCACCTAAGGACCTATCCCAGCACATCCAACAACAAGTTATGATAAAAATCAAAACTTACAGGAAAGAGGAAGGACCAAACCATGATGAAACTGGTTCAATAGATTTCCATTCCTGGTCACTGATGAAATTTATGAAATCAGATTTAGTTCTTGCACCCTGGTATCTTCTGAACTCCCCATCTTTACAGCTGTAAAACAAACAAAACAAGTCCTTTATTTTACATAGTCCAAGCATACAGCATTTGCTTCCACTCGGCATCACCCCTCCCATCACCTTGCCCTGGATCTTAGTTTTAGTTTGCCTTAGATTATATTGGCTCTAAAATGTTTTCCAAAACTGCTGACTACAGGTATTTCTAGAATCTTGATTCCATATGTATTTGCTCAATACATGGGTATCTAGGTTGTGATTCCATAATGATCTTCCTAATGCACTTGCCACATAACTGCACTAAGATCAACCTACCGAGAAATAAAGATTGCAAAATGAAAACACCCATAAGGAGATAGGATAAATAAGGCCTGAAGGAAAACAAAAAACATCAGCTGGCAGTACTGCAAGGTCAGAGTAGGTAAGACAGTGGCTGTCCATGTGTAACGTAACTCACATTCTTAAAAAGCACGGGAAGTCTCATTTATTTGTCCCAGTAAAAAGTGGGGAAAATATCCTCTCTCCTCCAAGAAATCTGCTGCATTTCATACTTACTGATAGATGGTAGGAAGAGCTGTTATGACAAATCGTCCACTTAATCCTGTAAGAAAAGTTATTTTTCAGAATTGCAGAGCACACTTACATATTAGGCAAGAAATGCCTAATTATACACCAAAATAAAAATGGCTCCTGCCCCACGTATCAATATTTAATTGTGATCAAACACAAACTTGTGCATATAAAAGTACTGCACACAGTCTAAAAGTCCTGAACAAAGAGCTACAAAGTTTCCCCATGGAGAAGAGATGTCCAAGGATAACTGTTTTACTTGACAATTTTAGCTGTAGCTCTTGAGAGATGCTCTCCTTTTCCCACATGATCTGCAATCTCCAGCGTTTGCAGAAAATAATCCAAGTGAGGCAAGTTTCAAAAGTTATGGGAAGAAGTTACAAAAGTTACTTCAAAGAACCACATCAACATGGAGAAGGTAATTTTTACAAACGCCACACAGACAGGAAGGCAATTCAGATAAGTGAACTTCATCTGCAGGAACAAGGCGAGGTACTACCACAAGGAAAGCTAAAACCACATTTTTGCTCTGTATGATGCTTAAAAAGTACAGCCAAAAATCCCCTTGAAACCCTCCAAAATCACTCTTCAGAGAAATTTGCTTGTTCCCTTATGCAGTTTTTAGTATACATCCAGCAATATGCCTTCAGTAGAATCACAGAATCATTTACAATTATGAAATTATGCCAAAATGAAAAGCTTCCCAAAACAACTCAATTTTCTGTCAGTTTGAGCTATTCTTTTCCTTTAATATTTGCTAAGATATTGAAGGAGTCCTGGAAAGCCTTTTTGATTCTGTTTACTGCAAAGCTACGATTTTAAAACATGCATGGAAAAAGCACATTAAAAAAAAGATTTTGAAACTGTAGTTGCCTATGAAACATTAAGTGATCTTTAACTTAGAATCCTAGAATGGTTTGGGTTGGAAGGGACCTTAAAGCTCATCCAGTTCCAACCCCTGCCATGCACAGGGACACCTTCCACTAGACCAGGTTGCTCCAAGCCCCGTCCAACCTGGCCTTGAACGCTGCCAGGGATGGGGCAGCCACAGCTTCTCTGGGCAACCTGTGCCAGTGCCTCATACTTCGAATTTCCTATTAATCCTATTTCCTTAGGGCATACACACTTTGCCCCGGCTTCAAGATTTTCTCCTTGGTTTCTGACTGGGGTTAAACCGCTACACCCTTGCACCAGGCACTGCACGAGCAATGGGAAGCCCGAAGCCCCGGAGAACACCTCAGGAACCACCATCCCCGCCAGCCCTTCTCACCCGGCTGCTCCGTGACATCCACTTTGGCGATGTTCACTTCCAGGTCCTCGCCCCACTCAGCAAACTTCTCCCACTCGGGCTGCAGGTTCTGGCAGGCGGGGCACCAAGGGGCATAGCTGGAGGCAGCACAATTCCGTCACTGAACAGCACCGCCCGGTCCCACACGGCCTCAGAGCTGGCCGCGGAGACGCCCCTCGTACCCTCCCCGTCAGCCCGAGCGACCCGCTCCCGACTCACAACTCCACCATCCACTCTCCGTGCAGCAGCTCCCGCCACATGCCGTCCGACAGCACCTTCACAGGGCTCCGCTTGCCGTGTGCGGCCGCCGCCAGGCACAGCAGAGCGCACAGCCACCCTGCCGCCGCCATCTTGCCCCGTGCTGACTTCCGCCTTCAACGGAGGCGGAAGAAGAGGAGGGAGCCAATCGCGCCGCGTTCCTCCTCGGCACGTCACATCTGGCTCCGCCCCACGCACGCGCTCAGCGCCGTGAGGGCGTGGCGCTGGCTCTGGGCACGGCTCCGGCAGTACGGAGTGGTGAGGGAATCGGCGTGTTCCTGCAGCGCTGTGCCGGGCTCTGTGCGCACCGCGAGTTCCCCTCTCAACGCCATTCCATATTCACGTATTTAAGTCCCAGCTCTCCTCAGCCCCCTCCCCAGTGTGCTGCTGACCTCCTTCGCCTGCGCTAGGTGCAGAATTACCCTCTCCTCAGGGGCTGAGCGATCCTGCTGTGGTTTCGGTTTTTCACAAGCAAGAAGCGGTGCCGTTCCCTTTTGGAGGTACAGCGAGAGAAGATGCCATCAGCGTAGAAGCCAGCTCATTTCCAGACTGCTCTTCAGATCACAGGGCCAGCCCCAGTAGGTGCTTGATTAGATTCTGCTGCTTCTGCCATCATACCCATTTTCATAAGAGCAGCTTGGCAACATTTGGCAGGACGTGCCAAAGGCCTGTTCCTGAAGCAAGGGTGGCTGAACTACCAAATTCCCAGTTTCTGATCCAAATAAGGGAAAAGCGAGATACACCCAGAGACACACAAGTGAGAATTAGCATTGCATGAGGCAAGCCTCCTGCTTCCCTAGCTTCATTCTCAAACAGCTGAACTGATTTTAGCAGGAACCTGCTAGAATATTGGTTCTAAAGTAGCCTGGAATACATCAGCAGGCATGATTCCAGCTCAAGAGAAACGAGACTGAAAGCAGGGGCTTGGAGTGGGGAATATTGGGCAGCCAGAAATGTAGGTGTTGCTACTTCTTCTGCTGATAGCATTTCAGTGCAAAAGATACACAAGCCATAGAATATAGCGCAAACCGCGTGTATAAAGAGGCCAAAGTGCTATCTTGCACACTCAAGTGCAGAGCCAGACACAAAGGGACCATCACATGCCTTCCAAGTATTTATTTACTCCAGAATGATCCAGATGTGAAACCCTGCAGACCTGCTGGGTTTACATCACTTTGCACCAATCTGAAAGTTGCACTTGGTTCCAGAAAACAGTAAATACTGTGCTGACTGGAACCTCTTTGCTGTATTTTAGTGACAAGAAACCTGTTGCCCTGAGGCCAGCACAGGAGCCTGCCTAAAAGCGTCCAAAGACATACTGGGGAAAATGGTATGAGTACTGTTTTCTTGTAAAATGTCACTTTTGTGAGAGGAAGGCCTGTGCAGGTGTTTTTGCTCTGATTTAGGGCTCCTTCAGGCATGACAGAAAACAAGCCATATTTAACACAGTCAATAAGAACATTACTTTTGAAACCAAAAATAATTCTTTCAGACAGATAACATAATCTGTAACAGGCCCATTACTTCACTGCTATCAGATATTTCATTGTGAGATGCAGTTCATGACACTCTGGAAGATTATGTTGGATTATTATATCAGATCAGGTTAGATTATCTTCCTGGGTAGTGATTTTGCCATTTAATGCTCCTAGGCTCAAGAAGAAAGAAGCTGGTAGGTGTCTACTCTAAATAAAGAGTAGCTTCAAAGGCATACCAACCTTCCTATGGAGACAGCGTGAAAGACGGTGAAAAGTATGACTTCATACCTCCTGCACGTGGTTCCAGGAAGTATTTTAAGGGTAATGACTGCTGTGAATTACTTTTACTCCCTGTTATTATTACATTGACATTGTCTCACTTCTTTATAAAGTTTTGAGGCATTTGAGAACAAGAAAGAACAAGCCTTGACCATATCTTTTATGCATTCTTTCTCCAGCCCATTTGTCTTGGCCCTCGCAGGCAGACTGGAGAAATGTCCGCCTCATCTTTCAATGTTTACAGAAGAATAAAGAGATTTAATAACCAGACACCCAAACTAGCTAACTAACAAAAAGCATGTTTTTTGTTGCGTCAAAAGGAGTGTGACCAGCAGACTGACGGAGGTGATTCTCCCCTTCTCCTGCTATCTTGAGACCCCATATGCAGTACTGCATCCAGCTCTGGGGCCCCCAACATAAGAAGGACGTGGACCTATTAGAGTGAGTCCAGAGGAGGCCATGAAGATGCTCTGAGGGCTGGAGCATCTCTGTTCTGGAGACAGGCTGAGAGAGCTGGCTTCAGCCTGGAGAAGAGAAGGTTCTTGGGAGACCTTAGAGCAGCTTCCAGTGCCTATAGGGGCCAACAAGAAAGCTGGAGAGGGGCTTTTGACAAGGACCTGTAGGCATAGGACATACGGCTTTAAACTGATAGAGGGGAGATTCAGATTAGGTATTAGGAAGAAGTTCTTCCCTGTGAGGGTGGTGAGGCTCTGGCACAGGTTGCCCAGAGAAGCTGTGGCTGCCCCATCCCTGGCAGTGTTCAAGGCCAGGTTGGATGTGGCTTGGAGCAACTTGGTCAAGTGGAAGGTGTCCCTGCTTGCAGCAGGCGAGATGGAAATGTATGGTCTTTAAGGTCTCTTCCAACCCAGATAACAACCCCTTCCAACCCTGTGAAAACATAAGATCGCTCTGAGTGACTTTAAGATATTAACACATTTCCAAATACTACTCCTTTTTGTTTCCTTTATGCCTGCTCTGTTACTGTGACTTGAGATTTGGGAAAAGAAAGTAAAATTGTTGCTTTCTGACTTACTTTTAGTAATGTGCATGGTGTGGAGCCATAACACTGGTTTATTCCAGTAGTCACCATGGCCAAATCCCCTTCTTACGCTCATGCTTCCCTAGAAGTACGTTATACCTCCATGGGAGCAATGTCAGATCCTTATGTGTTCATGAGGCTGCAGGACCTCATGGCTCTGATCTTGACCAGCTTGAGGTGCCTCCAATACCATCCTGGCAGCGCTCTCCTTTTCTTCGTCCTTAATTTAAAGAGGGGTCCTCTGGCTTCTATGCATGGCTTTTTCCCTGTGCATGTGGCAAGAGTTACATTGTAGGTCAACATATGCTTTAAGTTTTACTTCAGGTCTTTAATGTCTTATCTCGGAGTATGCCCACACCTCCTCATGTACTGAAGTGAGAAAAATGCATGATCCTGCGTGCTGGAGGTGCTGTGCTAGCATTAAAATTCAGTGATGGTGTTTGTAGGGAGGAAGGGGTTGGTTTGTCTGCTGAGATCTCTGCTGCAGGCAGTGTCTACTGCTTTTACAACCAACATAGGCCTCCAGTTGTACCACCGCTCAAAGGGGAAAGTAGGATCACTGGTCAAAACTCTCCCGAGCCCAGGGACCACTGTTAGAGTGCACACAGCCTTCCTGTTGGCAAACCCCACCAACTGTCCACATATGAGAAAGCCCCAAGCAGTTCTGCAAGACACCCTCTCCTCTGCGGGCTGAAGTTCTGGTGGTGGCGGTCAGAAGGTGCAAATGGCTGTTTGTACAATCAACCCCAATGCGGAGCGGGGACTTTCCTCCCAGGTGGGGTGAACTCCGCACCGATGAGGTGATTTTTTTTCACTAGTTGGTGATTTTTTAATTCATGCTCTTTTTCAGCGCTGCCACACGGCGGCAGAGTTGAGGCTGCTTCTGAACGGGGAAGAGAGCGATGGAAGGAAACTTTCTGTTAGGAATGACCTGAATTTCCTGCTAGGGACACCAGGTCGTCTTTCAAGGTGTTGATGTAGAGGACTTCTTCCTTGTCCAAGGCCTCGAGGTTTTAGGTTATTTCTCTGAGGATCTGAAGTAAAGGGGATTTTGTGGTCAGCTACAACAGCCCTTCCCACCAACACACCATGAAAATATGGCTCATCATTTTGACCAAAGCTGGGGTTACAAAAATATCCAGTTCTGTAAGTATCATGAAAAGCACTGTCCAGCTGGAGTGAGTACTACTGGTGCACAGAGGCTGAAGCACAAGCCCTCATTAGTGTTTGACAGAGGGAAAAGGAATTATAAGTATCTTAACCACAGGGAAAGCTTTGATCGACAAGAACACTTGTCAGCCAAGAGGATGTTCAGCCATGAAGCACTGAGCCCAGGAAACAAGGCTGATACATTCTCCTGCCCACAGAGCTGCTTGGTTTTGATGAAGAGTGAAAGATGAGAAAGCGAAAAATGTCTGTGTAATCAAGAAATCACCCTTTTCTTGATGACATCTGTGTTGCAGAAAATCAGATCCCACGCGTAGGAGTGGGAGTAGACTCTGCTTCCTTTGGGTTTTGCTTTCTTTTGAGCTGAAAAAGGAAAAATACTGAAACGTTTGAATGTCTCAAATTTTCCCCAAAGTTAAGCCACAGAGATGAACAAATTTTCCAAATTCAGCCCATTCTGTAAGTGGTCAAAAACATTTAAAAAAATTCCACCCAAATTCACCCACTCTTTTTCATTTTTTTGCAGAATGTTAATTTATCTGTGCTTGAAATGTGAACAAATTGAACCAGCTCTACTTTCATGTATTTTCTCTTTTCTCTTTTTTTATTTAAGTCCCCTTACATGCCCTGACAATGAGGTGAACACTAAACCAGATGAATGAGCAGTAGGAGCACAGAGGCTGCCTGCCCCAGGCTGCCCTTTTGAAGGACCACTTGAAGATAGCAGAGTGCTGGCCAGGTAATTATTTCAAAGCACGAACCAAGCTCTGCAGTCCTTGGATGAGGTACAGCACCAGAGTCCTGACCTCATTTACAGGGCTTGCATTTAGGAAATGCCAAGCGATTATGCAGAGAGCTTTCCTGTGTGTAATCATATGAGGCAGGAGACATGAAGTCACTGTCCTGAAGCCCAAGGTGAAGTCAGACTGACTTTGAAAGTCTCAGACAGGCCTAGGGCTGCCTTTTGTACTGCTGTTAAGAAGCAAAACTGATCCTGCCTAATTTATTGGGCTGTTTTCCGGCTTTGTCCTTTTGGGAAAATTGGCATTTCGATTCCACTCAGACATTTTTCTGGGCTTCAGCATTAGAAGAATTAAAGTCAAGCACTAGTTACTTTTCTGTAGCTCTGGATTTCATTCCAGGAAGGCAATCTATGCATCAGTGCTTCC